TGATGAGCTCCTTTCCTAGGCAAATATTGAGAAGTGCAAACATGAAATGCCTAGATTCAACTGGAAGAAGGACTGACCAATGGAACTCTCTGCATGTTCTGAGGAACCAGGACATCTCTCGTGTGCATGTTGAGGCAAACAGCAGAAACCTTACTTTTCAAACTGATAAACAACACAGGACACCAAACCTCTACAGTTAGAAGAAAGGCCTATAAGCTATAATTTAAAATGTTTCCCTTAACTATAAAGAGATCTACAATGTACTTTCGTATTATTCATTAGCAATTCTTAAACTTGATAATATTCAGCATACATATATTGATGACATAATGATACCACCAAGGTACTTAGTTAGTTTGATGCATGACTGTTACCTCACTCCATGTGCAACTACTGGTAGCTACAAATAATTAGGGTTTAGGCTGTCAGTGGTATCCACATAAAAGTGAATGGTGGAGTTAAGCATAATTTCGAGCACTTATTGAGTTCTACTGTGTGCTGTGCCTTTTACTAAGCCTTTTTCGCATGCATTTTCTTATTTAATCCTCAAAACAACTCCATAAGAAATGTACTGATCTTACCACGTTTTTAAAGATGAGAAACTGGACCTTTACAAGGTCATGTAATTTGCTCAAGATTACACACAGTGAGTCCAATGATGGGCTAGAATTTGAACCCAAGCCATCTGAATGCAGACTCTGAGCTCCCAACTAAGGCCAGGAGAAAAGTTAGGTCCTACTTCTCTCTTCCAACTTTATACAACTTTCTCTTCTATATCTACACACTTTTAGTTAATGAGCCTTGGAATCACCTACCAAATACAGATCCCAATCACATGCGATGAGGGGGTCACACTGTAGATATGTTTTTCCAGACCCGTTCCATGACATTATAAGATTTACAAGACTTTTTTTTTAAAGCGAAAGAATTTTAAAACAAAACAAACCACCCAAAAGAACAACAGGGGAGCAATTTGGCTACTGGGCCAGGTACTTAGTAAATCCAGTCAATTGAAAAATATCTCTCTAATATAAGGAAATCAGTGAAGGACATTGTTGGAAAGGATTGAACTTGCTATAAAGTACAAAACCCATTTCCTATGGAAAATGCAATAATTTATTTCTTTAGTACAAGCTTTCCACTAAAGAATGCCATTAAACTGGATGCATTGCTGTGACTGGCTACAGACTCTACCCAACAGGATATATACAAGCAAAGAGGAAACACGCTGTCTAGAAAAAATATACAATTTCCTTTTATTTCCTCTTCTTAGTAGAACAACTCTTCTTTGGGGAACAAATCAGGAGCTTATGGCAATTCACTACATAATATTTTCCATTCTGACAGCCAGTAAAAATGAGAAACCATGAGAGTCAATGAGGATGACCCAATTATTCTCAGAAAGGCAAGGGTTTCTGTGGTGGGTGCCTCGCATGAAGATCACTGCCTGCCATCCAGATCTCCCCCCAAGTGGGCAAGAATCCATTGAGGGGCAAAAAGCATAGATCCTTTCATTAATCCATATTTTATTCCAGCTTGGCTGACACATCAATTGTGTGAAGATGAGTAGTAGGAAATAAAGCTGTAAGGATAGGTGGGTACAAACTGTAAGGATCTCAAAGTGCTACCAGGCTGTTATTAATTCAGTGGCCAGCTGGGGAACCACAGAAAGATTCTGAGAAGAGCAGTGACATGACTATAACCTATGAAGATTAACCAGCAAACATTATAGGATAGCTCAAAGGTAGCAGAGATAAAAGGTAGAAAGACCAGTTAAAAGGTAAGATATGGAAACAGCCTAAGTGTTCATCTATGGATTAATGCATAAAGGAGATGTGAGATATATAGATCGATCGATCTATCTATCTATCTATCTATCTATCTATCTATCTATCTATCTATCTATCTATAGAGAGAGAGAATAGAATATTACTCAGCCATGAGAAAGAAGGAAATCCTGCCATTTGCATGGGTAGAACTTGAGGACATTGTGCTAAGAGAAATAAGTTAAATAGAGAAAGGCAAATATTGTATGATATCACTTATATGTGGAATCTAGAAATGCTAAACTTCTAGAAACAGAGAGTAGAATAGTGGTTGTCAGGGCTGGTGGGTGGGGGAAATGAAGAGATAGTCGTCCAAAGGTATAAACTTGGTTATAGGATGAGTTCTGGGGATCTATCATGGTGATTATAGTTAACAATACTGTATTATACCTTTAAAGTTAAGAGAGTAGATCTTAAATGTTCTCACCACAAAAACAGAAATAGTAACTATATGAGGTGATGGAGGTATTAACTAATGTTACTATGGTAATCATTTATATGTATAAAATGTATCAAATCAACATGTTGTACTCCTTAAACATACACAATGTTATATGTCAATTATATCTCAATAAAGCTGGGGGAACTGGATAGCTGTGGTGCTGGTTAACTTTCATTGCATTTGCTTATCATTTATTTCATTGAGTTTTAGCAAAATGAGTCTCATGACTTCAAGGAACTTACTTATTTTCTGTTATGTTGCCTATTAGAAAGTTTATACAGGTCTTTGTTATTGATTAGTGCAGTGAGATAGAATATCCTTTCAAAGTTCTGATGCTTGAAAATGACAGACCTGTATTTAATGTGTGTGCCAATGGCACCTTAGTCAACAGAGTGCTCAGTAGAGTATAATGCACGCAGCAGTTTTTGATGACTGGGTCGAGGTCAAAAAAGGCCTTGCAGCTTCCTCCTCACTAGTCAGAACTCTCTCCAGTAGGCCTAAGTGCATGTCGGAAGGCTGACTGCCTACCCTGAGACCACTGGGCTGGAAGGGCACGTGTCGGTGCTCCGGTCCCTCCCAGATGCACCCAGATTTCAAGTCAATCCTATGAAAGCACCAGACCTGTGAGGGAGGAGGCCTCCACGTTCTAGACTCCAGGGCTTGAGTCCTCCCAGCTTGAGGTCCCAGACATCATGAAGCAAAAACAAGCCTTTCTGCTGTGCCCAGCCCATATTCCTGACCCAAAGAAACCACATGCACAATAAAATGGCCATTTTTTATTATTAAGTTTTGGGGTGGTTGATTAAACAGCAATAGGTGGCTAGAACCCTATGTACCAGAAAGGTGATAAATCGCTGTTTGTGGAGCCCACATCTAGAATAGGACACAAGTCTGGGTAACATATTTCAGAAGACTAATAGTCAAACATATTCAGAAGAGAGTAACAAGAATGTTCATTTATGGGGGGGGGAAATGGAACGATTAGAGAGAGATATATTCAAACCACTAAAGAGAACAACGGCCTTGGCCAGTTTGGCTCAGCGGTTAGAGCGCTGGCCCGCGGACCAGAGAGACCCAGGTTTGGTTCCCACTAGGGGAATGTACCTCAGTTGCAGTTTGTTCCCAGCCCCGGTTGGGGCTGTGTGGGTAGCAACCAGTCAATGTGTCTCTCTCATATTGATGTTTCTGTCTCTCTCCCTTCCAGTCTATCTGAAGATAATTGCAAAAATGTCCTCAGGTGAGGATATGGAAAAAAAGAGAGAGAGAACAATGGTATATGTTAATTGTCTTCAAATATTTGAAGGGCTACCATGAGTGAAAATGAAAACAACTATTCTGTATATTCCCAGAATAGAGGACTAGGGACTGAGCAGAAGCCAGAAGCAATCAGGTGGAAGAATTTTCGAATGTTCAGAGCTTTCCAGGAGAGAAGAGTCAGTGTTAGAAGGTAGTGAGTTCCCTAACATTTAAGACAATCAATCACGGTCTAGATGATCACCACCTGGAAGGTGGGTTTAGCGAGACTTTAGAGAGAACTCATTTATTGACCAGAAGTTTGAATGACATGCTCTTACTTTAAGGTTACACTGTAACACTGAGATGTGTTTAATCTGAAGATCAACCCTATTTCCTTGTGCTAAGAAATCTAATCCAACACATGTTGAGCAGAGGAAAAATAATACAAGATGAATAAATTAAATGAAAAGCAATACCCAGGTATAAATAGAAAGTGATGCAGAACTTTGGAGGAAGAAATGGCAAACTAACAGGAAAACAGAATCCAGCATAACAGCAAAGACACTTTTTAAAAAAATGATGCATAAAGCATCAACCAAGGAAGAGAAAAAGATCTCATCACAGATGATGCTGGGTAGAGAGGATGCCTTTCTCTTTCTTGAGAAATGGTTTTCTTCTTTTATTCCCCCATATTTATTTTTATTTTTAGAGCTGTAAGTACTGAACAACTTTGTTCACATAAACAAGAGGATTTTAAGACTGTTCTCTTCTGTCCATGGGAAAGACAAACCAAAAGACCACGGTGGCGTAGAAGCAAAGGGCACAAGGTTCACGTGGTAAAACGAGCGAAGCTCTCGAGCGATCACTGAAGCTCTGACCTCATGTAGATCCATAGGGCCAAGCACGCTTGCGTGGAAGCCACTGTGGATCACGTCAGGATGTAAGAATGACGAAAGGAAGCAAGAAAAACTGAAAATTAAAACCTGGTTTCCTAACAAGGCCCATGCAGGGGTGGGGGTGGGGGGTGGAGGGACAGACAAACCACCTAGAAAATGAGATGTGTCTGGAGCAAAACCACGAAAGCAACAACAACAAAAAGAAAATGTTAAGATGTTATCTCAAACACATTTCATCTGAACTTTATCACCATTTGTAATCAACTTCTAATGTTTCATAATGCCCTTTCACCTCCGTTACACAACCCCCTGAACAAGTCATCTCATTGTTACCCCACTGGAAGGAAGAGTGGGGACTCTTTTCATGTTGATAAGAGATAGAAAAAGGAGTCACTCCCAGGAAAGAAAAGTGTTCTGAGTCAACCGGGAGCCTAATGGTAAGGAGTGGTGATAATCTTTCACTTGCCTTAACCCTTTCAGAGATTCATGGAACCAGAAGTTAGAAATTCATGTGTAGTTGATAAAATAAAAGTCATTTTCATTTAAGTAAACAGAATTTTCATTGAAAAACAAAAATAGAAATGGTATCTTATTACTCACCCATTTCCTAGGTCGGCCTCTTGGCCGTTTTTCTCCAGTGGCTTCTGCTTTCTGCAAAATGAAAAAGGAAGTCATATGGTTTCCTACCTGACGTTATGTAAGTGCTGCATCGAGGGTCACATTTCAAGTCAGCACACTCAGATTTGCAGAGGCCGTATTAAGACTATTTTAATAGTCTCTCTTTTTAGGTTTATCTTCTCCATTTTTGACTCCTTTGTTTTTCATTGTATGATGTAAACAGATATCTATACAGCCCTTACCGCAAAAGACTCCCTCAAAGTGATTTTCTTTTATTTCTATCCATAATTTAAAAAAAATTATTCCTACATATCCATAATTATATAAAGTATTTTAGAAAATTAATGTTTCTTAAGTGATTTCCTTCCATGTCACTAACGTTACAAAAGTTAATATTGATATGTAGCTTTATCATTTTCAAAGTACTTCTAACTACATTGCTAGTCAAAACAAGTCTAGACATAAAGACACAGGATTCTGATTTTTTTTTTTTTTTATCCTCACCCGAGGACATTTTTCCATTTTTTTGTTCGGGTAGAGTGGGAGGGAGAGAGAGAGAAACATCGATGTGAAAGGAACACATCAAGTGGCTGCCACCCGCACGACCGACCAGGGCCGGGGACAAACTGCAACCGAGGTACATGCCCTTAGCGGGAACCGAACCCGGGTCTCTCAGGACCGCAGGCCGACGCTCTAACCGCTGAACCAAACTGGCCAGGGCGGATTCTGATTTTTTTAATTGCATATTTCTATGTAGTTAATTTCCTATTTCTTGCCAAAAAACAATCAGTTCACCTAAAGCAGAGGGAAAAAAAAAACCAGAAGAAATCTTCAGTGTTTGTCCCTGAAATGGAAACTAAGGACATCAAAAAAAATAAGTAATAAATATGTACATTAACCATAATTCCACACTCAACACAGATGTGACATAAATATATTTTCTAACTACCTTGAGAGTTTGTTTCATTGCTTTACTTCAGAGATTTTTCTGGTATCACCGATATTTTTTTCCCTTTTGAATCAAAATTTAAATTTTCCTATTAAATAATGTCCCTGTGTTCATCACCCCTTTTCAAGTCCTCAAATACACCAACACACAGGCACACATCTCATACACCCTCCATAAGAACAAAACAAAGAAAACTTAGTATATACTCTTCTGTGTATGAGAATCATCCCAAGGCTGCATAAACACAAAATATAGGTGACCTGAGCCAGAATAACTTGTTTTGCATTTTGCTTTTGTTACCTGGGTTAGTAGCCAGTGGGTACTTAATACAATAATACTAAAATTACCTGTTATAACTGTCTACACTGCCAAATGAGAATTTCCTCTTTCTCTCTTCAATTTGTTTGGTAAAAAATAGATGGAGATGAATGATAGATAAAAGATGATAGATAGATAGATAGATAGATAGATAGATAGATAGATAGATAGATAGAGACAGACACACACAGTAAGCCACAAGATTTCTCACCAAATAATATCTTCCGGGCCTGGCATTAGTATCCATCAGGGCCCATGAATTAACCCAAACCTTGTATAATTATAATGTTAGTTCACATTTATTTAGCATTTAAAATACCCCAGGTAAAGTCATTCACATGTTATTTTAATCCTCACAACAGCCTTGCAAGGTACGTATTATTTTTTCCCCTCTTATTTTGCAGATAAGCAACTAACTTCTAGGTGGGGGAGGTACATGACTCAAGGTCACACATAAAGCTGGTACACAGTAGACCTGGGATTCCTTAGTTCTGTTGGGCTCTAAGGATGGGGCTCCTACCCTCCTAGTAGTGTTGCTGCCTTTCTATGGGCATTTGCTACCATAAGGAGATATCTGAGTGAACTAAAATGATCACCAATTCAGAGAATTTCCCAGAACAGAAGGAAAAGCTGGTGGAGCCTTTGCCTGTCACCGTCATCAGGAGCTCAGACTACTTGTTTAGCTTCCAGCGGCTGCACAGAGAAATCACGTCTTGTTAGGGGGCTGTGGCATTGTCTTAACTTCAGTCTTGAGGGCATGAATTAAACTGAGAGCAGGGAGTGCCCAGCAAGCCACACTCTCTTTGAACGTTGTCTCAGAGAGAGGGAGGTATCTCAACACAGGCTCCACTTTGGAAAGCTTAGACTCAAACCCCTGCTCTGACATTTCAGCTCTAGGACTTTGGGCAGGTCTCTGAAAACTCCAATTTGTTTTCCTATGTGAAATGGAGATAATGCCTCCTGTGAGGAGTGAAGTGCCCGCCATAAATGAGGTGCTCGAGAAATGTTCTTTCCCTCCTAACAAGGTGGAACTCTTAAAGGGAAAGTTTTCCTTCAGGTTTGTCCCGTCTCACAGAAGGTTCGGTCAATGCAAATATTCCATTACACCCACCTGTCACCTTTAGAATGAAGCTTTTAAGAAACCCTTTGGCTGGTACATAGTGAGTTACACAAGTACAAAATTGCCTAAAACAGAAGCAGTGTCTGATTTAGCCTTTGGGAGCATAATTTACCCAGCAGTAAATTACACAAACATGGAAGATAGAAATCCTTCCTAATGGGCCAGGGGATGATAGGCGGAGCTGAGGGGAGGAGGCTATTGACCTTAAAGGCTAACAGTGCTACACCAGGCTTTCTCTGCACGGCTGTTATGTTTCAGGGGCCATGATGTGATCCGGGTGTATCAGAATTCTATTGAAGAGAGGGTTGTTTTCTAAAAGGGTTTCACTGCATTTCAAAGTCAGAGAAAGCAAATCTCTCAAAGAGAGAGAAAGCCCTGCAAATAAGAGGATTTCAAAATAAGCATCTCATTTACAAAAAGCCTATTCAAAAACAAAATTTGCACCATTATCTAAAGGGCAAAATATCAGGACTGTCACTTGGACTTGTTAAAAGCAAACTTGCTCCATGGTCTTCGGGCCAGTGTTACATGTAAACCGAAACCCTCTTCTGAGACTACATCTAGAAGAAACACATTAGCTGTGCCGTGCGGGGTCGAGCTGGGAGGTTCTCATTGTTCTTTAAAACCCACATTATTTAATCATTCTGATCAAACTTCACAAAGGCTGCAAAACAAGTTAGGATTTTAGTTTGTAAACAGCATAGATCCGGGGTTTTCCCATATGCAAAACACAGGCTTTAACTTTCCTTTCCTGTGTTTAATGCTCTTCGGATTACTATTTTTCCATAGAAGACAAACAAAATGTTTTGGGGGCTTGTTTTGTTTTTAATGTCAACATATCCACACAGTGGAGATGTATACTTGGTTTTCCTTTGCCAGAATGGAACTGGGTTCTACACTGCAAACCTATGTATATGTGAATAAACACTCATTCTAAGTTCCTGCTTATCTGGCAGGGGGTGGGGGCGGTGGGAGGCAGAAGTTCTACATTTGTAAGAACCAAAATTTCAGACTATGGCTGACTGGCACTGATATACTAATATCTGCAGCTATCATATCATGTCTTGTTTAGTGTCACTGCTTCATTTATATTGATTTTCGAAGTAGTTTAGATTCAGAACTGTATCGTTAATTTTATAATATGCTTAAAAGCAAGTTCATGAGGGCTGGGAGAAATGTTAAATGGGAAATGTAATCATTTCTTTTTAAGATGTTCTGATACCCCAGTCTTTTAAATATACTCTGCACTTTAATAATAACAATAACAATAATAATAATGATTAGGAAAGAAAATTCACGTGGCAAATGTAGCTCTTGAATTTGGAACCAATGCTTTGCCTGGTGCACAAGAGATGCTCACCACATATTTAGGAAGGAAGGAAGGAAGGAAGGAAGGAAGGAAGGAAGGAAGGAAGGAAGGAAGGAAGGAAGGAAGGAAGGAAGGAAGGAAAAAAGGAAGGGAGGGAGGGAGGGAGGGAAGAATCCTGCTATTTACATCATGTGTGTGTCTTGTTTCCCTCTTGCTATCAGAATTCCACAACTTGGTAGGACTTCCGGGGAAGACTTTAGAAAGCATTTCATCTAGCTCCTTCATTTAACAAGTAAGAACACGGCTGGCTGTCTCATGATCTCCCAAAGCAGAGCCCGGTGGTTTACTGGGGGGCAGAAGGCTGGGGTAGTGGCTGAAGCTGGCACCCACTGCAACCTCCAAAGGCTTCTCAAATCCTAACTTCCACCTTCTAGCAAATATTCTACAAAACATCTGACAGCATATAGTAGAGGAAAGATCATAAGCTTTAGAATGAGATTTGAATCCAAATCCACGTACCACCATTTGCTAGAGTTGAACATTAGATATGTCCGTTTCTCACCTATGGACTAAAGACCAAAATGCCTACATCAGAGGATAGAATGAGCTAATGTATACATAAAGTGCCTGGCAAAAGCAACGGCATGTAGTAGGTCCTCAAATGTAACTTCTTCCCTCCACGTTTTTAAATGTTCCCCTTAAAAAATACCTCCCAGCCTGGACAGTGTGGCTCAGTGGTTGAGCATCGACCCATGTACCAAGAGGTCGCCAATTTGATTCCCAGTCAGGACACAGGCCCTGGTTGTGGGCCCGATCCCCAGTGGGGGGCATGCAGGAGGCAGCCAATCAATGTTCTCTCTCATCGATGTTTCTATCTCTCTCTCTCTCTGTCTCCCTTCCTCTCTCTCTAAAATCAATTAAGAAAAAATTTTTTTAAAAGACATCCCCATTCTCTCAGTGTCCACAGTGATTTTCTGAGCATCATCTTACTTCAGTGGGGCAGCTGTTACTTCCCGTTTCACAAATGGGAGGTTAAGCCATCTGCCCACATTCACAAGTAGTGAAACTGAGACCCAATCTGATTTCAAGGCAATAAAGGGTTTGTTCTTCTGGGAGATGTTCCCATATAAAATGCAATAGCCACGGACAAATTCTAAAAAATCAAAACCTTCTAGGGTGAGAAACAAATGAACAGTTAAAAGTAAAACATTGCCAAGTTTCCTATAAAGGCACGACAGGAGCTGAGATTGAGACCCAAGAGAATTATCCAGGTCTGACTTCTGGGTCAAATTTAGATAACTATTCATTTGTTGCTAATCTAAATACTCTCATCATAT